GTTTGCAACATCAGTATAAATAAAGCTTGTTAGGCACTAATGTCCCAGAAGTATTATACTGTACTTGACATCTAGCAAAACATCTGTTATTTCATAATTCATACTGAGTAATATCTGTAAGGACACTATGGGTTAACATTTCCTAGGTGAAGATTGGTGCCATGATGAAAGTCCTTTGTTTCTTTCATCACGAGCCATTTGAGAGAAATAACCACATTCCAAATATTAATTCCTCTCAGACTGCACTGACTTTGAAGTTCATTTATCCATGTCTTAATTCATCATGTACCACACTGCATCTGAGTCCACTTAGGCAGCCTATGAATGCCTGTCCTCTGAAAAAGGGGGATGATTCATGGAGTAGACTTGTAAGAAATTATAACTATGACAAGGGTAAAGCAAAATTTAAAATGATGCATGCCAGTGTTTTTGTAGTGCCATAATTTCTCATAGGAATTGGAGTTGTCAGCCAAATGACATGGTAATGCTCCATGTCCTAAAGTCAGAAAACATCTTTGCCAGGCAGGAAAAATAACAAACACACAAAATTCCATTCCAGAGTCTGGCATACGGTGCTGCCAAGCATAGAGTTTACCCTTGTAACAGCAGCAGCACTTCCCACTAGCAAAAACATCTGGGAAAAAATACAGAACGAGTCTCGTTATCTCCTGCATACGCTAGGATCTGGTTGGAACAATGTCCAAAACATTAGCACTGAAGTTGAGTGACTGCTTCTAGCCCTCATAACCCTGCAGCAGTTTAAGTCTGAATTTTTGTTTAGTGTGTGTATGCCTGTTTTGTTTATTCAATCAAAAGGTTTGCAAGCAGGAAAACAGGAAAATAATTCACTCTTTGAAATAACGGTCTTCCAGTTATGTACTGAATATGCGCAAATATGTATTTCAAATGATCAGACTGCCTGGTCCACATTCACTTTGACCTAGGGAAGTTATATGCATGTGTGCGGCTTTTAAGCTTTATCTTATAAAACTACTAGCTTCAATGCAACCAATATAAAGAGCATCAACCAATATAGGGCTGCAGAACACCAGGATACAGGCTACCAATTAAGATCAAATTCTTCCATTTTTTTCTTAAATTAATATACTCCCTGTAGAATATGGCACTAAAAGCTGAAATCTTCAACTCATCCAAAGAACAAGTACAGCACAGGTAGTAACAGCGCAAGCTTCCCTAGACTACATTGTGAGAGTGAGCCTAAACATTGTTCTGTAGGGACCAACTTTAAAGGTTTTCATATCAATCAATTCCTCCACTTTTCTGTTGCACTGAGATCATCAACTTGTTTCACATAAGCCACTAATGGGCATCACAGAGCAACAACTTTCAAATCACTACTGCATCTCATTTTAAAAAGTGAAATACTGGTGAAAGGCTCAATAACTCTACTCTGATCTGATGTATCCATTGCCCCTAATTAAATCTCCAATTTGCCTGCTGCAACAGAGTTAGGATTTTTGTAATCTCTCTCTCTTTCACTAGGTAATTCAGAATGAAGTGACTAATTGGCAAACTAAAATATGTTAAGTTTGAAGTGGTGGGGCTGATAACCAAAACAGGCAATCTTTCAACAAAATCAGCTACTGTATCAGATCTGCAAGGTGATAAGTTTTCTTCCTATCTTAAACCAAAATTCAAAGGATATCCTCAATCATTGCTAACTGCCTTACTTCCCAAACTAGATAAATTAATTAAAAAGAAAATTATAAAACACTCAGAGAAGCTCGACATACCGGTGATTAACCAGCACGTCTTCGACAAAGGAAAATCATGCCTCTATTATACTAGAATTCTTTGACTTTTTCAACAAAATACTGGACTAAATGGAACACAGGTTGTGGCAATTCCTACACCCCATAAGCATTCAATTCAATTTTCTTCAAATAAAAGTAACCTTTGAATACACAGAAGCCTTTCGTACTGACCCAACTCCGTCCCCCATTTAAGTGAACACTAAAACTCCCATTGCCTTGACCAACACTGAATGCTTTTAAAACTCCGTCTCACAGTACACATATTACAGGGTGAATCTTTGGAGTACAGTTTAATGTTAGGAAATTTCATCCAATTTCATCCCCTTACTGTAGGGCTGTGAGGGAAATTACAGAACATGGGATAGGAGAAATAAATGTTTGATGAGTGTAATTGGAATTATCCAGTTCCCTCTTCCCATCCTCACTCCACTCACATATATGAAAAGTATGAATAGAGCACTCAGCCAGAGTGTTCTACTAGCTTTCAACTAGCAACATTCAAATGGCAGGTTTCGGAGGAGCAGCCGGGTTAGTCTGTATCCGCAAAAAGAACAGGAGGACTTGTGGCACCTTAGAGACTAACCAATTTATTTGAGCATAAGCTTTCGTGAGCTGCAGCTCACTTCATCGGATGCATCCTGTGGAAAGTGAAGAAGATCTTTTTATACACACAAAGCATGAAAAAATACCTCCCCCCACCCCACTCTCCTGCTGGTAATAGCTTATCTAAAGTGATCACTCTCCTTACAATGTGCATGATAATCAAGGTGGGCCATTTCCAGCACAAATCCAGGGTTTAACAAGAACGTCAGGGCGGGGGCGGGCGGGGGTAGGAAAAAACAAGGGGAAATAGGTGACCTTGCATAATGACTTAGTCACTCCCAGTCTCTATTCAAGCCTAAGTTAATTGTATCCAATTTGCAAATGAATTCCAATTCAACAGTCTCTCATTGGAGTCTGGATTTGAAGTTTTTTTCTTGTAATATCGCAACTTTCATGTCTGTAATCGCGTGACCAGAGAGATTGAAGTGTTCTCCGACTGGTTTATGAATGTTATAATTCTTGACATCTGATTTGTGTCCATTTATTCTTTTACGTAGAGACTGTCCAGTTTGACCAATGTACATGGCAGAGGGGCATTGCTGGCACATGATGGCATATATCACATTGGTGGATGTGCAGGTGAACTATTCCTACCTACATGCCTCCAGCTTTCACCTTGACCACACCACACAATCCATTGTCTACCGCCAAGCTCTGCGATACAACCATATTTGCTCCAACCCCTCAGACAGAGACAAACACCTACAAGATCTCTATCAAGCATTCTTACAACTACAATACCCACCTGCGGAAGTGAAGAAACAGATTGATAGAGCCAGAAGAGTTCCCAGAAGTCACCTACTACAGGACAGGCCTAACAAAGAAAATAACAGAACGCCACTAGCCGTCACCTTCAGCCCCCAACTAAAACCCCCCCAACGCATTATTAAGGATCTACAGCCTATCCTAAAGGATGACCCAACACTCTCACAAATCTTGGGAGACAGGCCAGTCCTTGCCTACAGACAGCCCCCCAACCTGAAGCAAATACTCACTAGCAACCACATAACACACAACAGAACCACTAACCCAGGAACCTATCCTTGCAACAAAGCCCGTTGCCAACTGTGTCCACATATCTATTCAGGGGACACCATCACAGGGCCTAATAACACCAGCCACGCTATCAGAGGCTCGTTCACCTGCACATCCACCAATGTGATATATGCCATCATGTGCCAGCAATGCCCCTCTGCCATGTACAAAACTTCAAATCCAGACTCCAGTGAGAGATTGTTGAATTGGAATTCATTTGAAAATTGGATACAATTAACTTAGGCCTGAATAGAGACTGGGAGTGGCTAAGTCATAATGCAAGGTAACCTATTTCCCCTTGTTTTTTCCTACCCCCCCCCCCCAGACGTTCTTATTTAACCCTGGATTTGTGCTGGAAATGGCCCACCTTGATTATCATACACATTGTAAGGAGAGTGGTCACTTTGGATAAGCTATTACCAGCAGGAGAGTGGGGTGGGGGGAGGTATTTTTTCATGCTTTGTGTGTATAAAAAGATCTTCTACACTTTCCACAGTATGCATCCAATGAAGTGGGCTGTAGCTCACGAAAGCTTATGCTCAAATAAATTGGTTAGTCTCTAAGGTGCCACAAGTACTCCTTTTCTTTTTGCAACATTCAAATGTAGTTCAACTTTGCAAATGAGTGAACATTCAAGCAATGGAGCCCTCAACGAGGCACTGGACCAGCATAGCACTCAAGAAAATGCTTAAATTTAGGCACATGATTTTAGGTATATGTGCACTGCAGTCGGGATGTATGATGGCATCCCGGATGGTAGTCGGGATGCGAGATGGCAGCTTGTAGACATAGCCGAGGTAGCTTTAACCTCTCTAGCTTGGGTAACAATAGCAGTGAAGCCACAACAGCAGTGGCTGTTTGAGTATGTACACAGGGTCCTGGTGGGCTACGCTAGCCAGTGCAACCACCCACGTTCCAGAGCTTCACCGCTATTGTTACTCAAACTAGTTTTGATCTAGCTAGAGCAATCAACTGTAGTGTAGACATATCACTCAGTGTTTTGTTGGATCAAAGCCCTAGTTCCCAGCTGGCATGAAAGTTTCTAGAATGTCATGCTTCCTTTTTCTTACACGTACAAATGAACAAACACATTAGGGGACGGAAGTTGTGGGATACAGAATTCAAATCTGAGCACAAGAGGAGCTGATGGATGTTCATCACTTTTGAAGAAGCAGGTCACTTATTTAATATCTAAATATGGATTTTGGAGTGTAACTTTAAGCACCTATTATTGATAATCTTGGCCAGAAGATTTATAATTTTAGTTTGGTGGGTATACAGTGCTCTATATGTGAACAATGAAAGCATAAATATTTTGGCATGGCTTCTGTTATATTTGGATTCTTAAGTTAACTGTTGGGAATGAAATCCTAAAGATATTTGCTATTGCTTTGTTTGACTAACTCTTGCTTTTTTGTGTGTGTGCATGCAAGTCATAAGATCAATAAAATCTACATACAGCATGTAAAGAAAAACAAATATATAGAACTCACAACTTTTTGGTATTAAAATGGCCACCTAGAATGCAAACTTACGTATCTAACAATATTTTTTTTCATTTTTATTGTTGTGTCTCAATCTTGCCAAGAGAATTGATGCTGAACATGTTCTGTCATTGTTCATGTTTGATACAAATTCTACAATGAAGTATGAAGTGTATAAATACTAATGATTAAAGCATTCAGCAAAAGATAGTAGCATGACATACTGCTTTGACTTTTCAGCATTCCTTATTGTGATTGACTGTGTATTCCATCTCTTCCCATGGGTCTGTGACTCTGAAAACAGAAAAAAACTTAAATAGTCAACCAATCAAATGATGGAGCATTACAAAGATCAAAGCAGTCCAGCACTCAATTATGTAATTTACAAAATACAAGAGTCATCAACATTCAGAAACCTTATTTTTGTGACAAAAAGCATATAAAGAAAAGAAAATAGTCCATTATAAATCATCATTCAGGACAATAATTGTAACAAGAATGAGAAATCGACCCAATATGTCCAACACTCATTATGATGCTTGAATTGTAACCTTATGGTCCTCTTTGGAAACCAAACAGAAAATAGACAAGATGTGAAAAAGGTTTAATGAAGATACTTTTTTTAAAAAAAACCTACAATCTCAAATGTAGCAATAAACACATCATGCCTATCATTGAAAATAATATGAGCCATATTTGGTGCTATCATTAGCAGACTTGGGCAAAACAACAGAAAAAAATGATAAACATTTCATGTACATAAGCATAATTTATTTGCAAATAGTTTGCACAGTTTTTATAAGGATCTGGTCATAAAATGCAAATTTTACTGGCTTAATAGAAGTGTTAATGAAGCACAAAAACTGTCCTCAACAAGGAAAATACTACCAAAGGGCATATTCTGATACAAATCAACAGGAGTAAATGTATCTTCTACCCCATAGAGTGAATCACTGCTGACCATGTATTTACTTCTGGAACAAAGAGCAACTCAACATAAGTAAGGCTACCAGAAACTGGGCCTGAATAACCTCTAGAAAGTTATATCCTTGAGAACAGATTATACAAAAAGAAAAACAGCTCATTTTTAAATCAGCACAGTACTTGGAAAAAGAGTATGAAAGAATCTAATGTACAAGGTTAATGAAAATATTTTCAAATAAATATGTTAACTGAGTTCTTATATAGAAGTCCATAGTAATACAGAAAAAAATAGCTAGCCGTAAATAAGAAGCTGACACCCTGTACTATAGTTTACCACATTCTGTACTCTAGAATTCTCTAAACCACAAAGTTTCCTATGATCAAGTTCAGAACGTCGCTTGAACAAACACCGTTGTGCTGTCACATCTTCCTCTGAAATTAAACAAAAGACAGCAGTAGGAGCTGGGGAAAAGGAACAGACCCTCAAAAGTCAAAATAGTTTGTGACGCATGATTTTGACTTCTGTTATTGCTAGTGTACAGAACATTTGTGAGGGAGGAAAAGCACAATGGGGCTGTGATGGTACAGAACATTGCAGGCACCTCTGGACCTCTGAAGTATTGATAGACAACAAGGCACCAAGATCAGTGAAGGACAGAGGTTAGAGAAAACAAACAGCTCAAATTAATAGCCAATATCATTCTTACAAAACTCCCATATAACCCAACCTTCAAAGTATAACCCAAACCTTCGAATACTGGATGAGTATTTAAGAAATAAAGACATTTGTCAACCTTTAAAAACTCCCATGAGTCCCTTTCTATTTAATTCCACAGTGCTCATCCTGTTTACTGCATTGAAAATCATTCCAAATTAAAGGTTATAAAATGGGAAAAGTTAACAAGGGCTTTGAAACAATAATGAATATGAACCCCGTAAAAATATTTATTTGGCCCTTTGCCCTGGTTGCAATCAACTAAAATTAGGGGAAGGAACAAACATTGCAATTTTAAAAAGAGGTAAAACAAAATAAAGCTATCTGGTGCTGTAGCTTAGTGCACTCTAGTTTTTTTATACTTTCTAAACCTTGCTTCAGGCATAAGTAAAATCTTAGCTCAAGTTGTACAAAACTCAGTGCTTTTATGTCATGCAGGTTCGTGTGAATTTTTTGTTCAGTGTCCCTCCACAGGGATCTTTCATGTACCAAATTTCATTCTGAGTTTCATGGTACAATAAATCCGAAAATTGAAAGTGAAACAGCCAAGACTACAAAATAATGCTTCTTTTTGACCCCATGCTTTCCTTCTCCTTCACTTTTAATGTCATCAGAGGTCATTAGGTGACACTCTTGCATACCTTGTATACCTTAGGACAAGACAGAACACATTGTTTAGAGAATTAATCAAACTGGTGTGAGTGTATTCATGAAATCGCAACAAAAAAAATCTCTTAAATTATTGTTCACATTTTTGAACCCTTGAATTTTAGTTTTTCAGATCCCCCAAATTTCCCAAATTTATTCACAAGGCAGCATGCAAAATTCATTTTCACCTCCACATTTTGTGTATCTGAAATTTCACCTAAAATATTGGCCTGACGGCTATGTTTGGCAATTTTTATTTGCGGAAAATGGGAAAGATTACAGGAGTTCTCCAATTTTTTCCATATGTCACCTACAGTTTAATAGAGACTTTGTCTCATATGCCCACTTCCCTTCCCATCTGCAATTGTATAACTTGCATATGAGAGCTACAGTGATTAGCTCACATGGAAAAACATTATAGGTGTATATAACATTGTTAGCTGTCTTTGAGTATAATGTAGCATCTGGAAATGCGGAGACTCAGCATCATGTAACCATCAAGTATTCTGTAGGCCATCAACAAGTGCTCCACAAACTACCAGTGATCGATGCCCTACAGTTTGAAAGCCCCTGGGATGCAGCAACACACAGGAAGTCACATGCACATTTATATTATGTTAGACACACACAAAGTCCAGGGGCCCAGTCCTCCCATTGCACATGTTACTCCCAAGAACTTCACGAGTTATGCGCGGTCAGCAGCACTATTTTTGCTGTTATTAGGATCCGAATATTAAAATTTGTCTCTTGGAAGCAAATATAGATATAGTCCTGCATTTTCCCCTACTCCAGTTATTCTTAATCCAAGGAAAATGGAGCTATTTTTATTTTATTTTAAATTATAATGGAATGATAATGCAACTTGCCAGAATGAAGACCCTGGAGCCTGACTCCCTGCAGAACCCAATAAATATACAGCACGTATAAGTTTCCTCATCTTGTCCTACCTGAATGCACCAGGTCCCACCTCAATGGACTGCTTTGAACGGCAGCAAAGTAATTCATTTTCCAAGCTTCAACTGTCTTTGGCCTCTCTGTTGAGAACATTGACTAGTGAAAAGTGTGACAGTGTTTGTGTGTTACAGAGGCCTATTCTGCAAGATACTGGATTAAGACCACCAGCTCATTTTATCCAGTCCACTAACCCACTGTCAACTGGTAATGATTTTCTGTTATTATTGACCTAGGCTACATTCAGATGGGAAAGTGTCATATTATCACAATTGAAAGAAATTGGCACCTCTCTAATCAAGAGCAAGATTCCAGTTATAGGTAACAGAGTAGCAGCCGTGTTAGTCTGTATTCGCAAAAAGAAAAGGAGTACTTGTGGCACCTTAGAGACTAACCAATTTATTTGAGCATAGGCTTTCGTGAGCTACAACTCACTTCATCGGATGTATAAAGGTAAGGATTTTCCCAGGAGATGGAGAACTTTTCTTGTATAGTTTAAAACAGGTTTGTTAGGACACCGGCAAAATTTATTATACCATGAGATTATACAAAATAACTACTTACTCTACAAAAACAGCATTCATAAAGAATCATCACTGAACTAGCAATCACTGGCAAATAAATGTGTCCAGGCAGTGTGCACACTAAAATTATCTGGAAATTGCATTAATAATATCTAGCAGTCCACCCAGGGTATTATTTTTCATTCAGGCTTATCCATTAATTTGAAATCTGCAGTAAAACAAGAGAAATGTGCTTTGTTATGTTAAAACAATTCTAAAATGTGACATCTCCTTCAAAGTCCTGCTGAACAAAAAGTATATAGTGAGCTTTAATGTTGGCTCACAAATTTATTTGCACTTTGCTGCATTTAACAGATCATCAGAATAAATATAAGAAAAGCAGCTTATGCCATCTCTGTCCTGGCAATTTGGTTAAAAGCATGGCACTATAGCTGTGTTGCTATAGCACTTCCTTTCAGCTGATTTGTTCAATTTTTTACATTTATTTGATTAATATGCCACCTAAACCCACTAACAATCTTTTCCCGGTATGTTTTGGGTAAGTGCTTCCACAGTGATTCAGGATGCAAGTCACTAATAAAAGTCATTATGCTAAGAGGATCCAGAACAACTGACCAAGAATATATTACTTCATCATCTCTAAAAAGTTTAGTAGACCAGCAAAATAAATCATAACCTAGCTCACGCAGAGAGGGCATAAGCTGCTTCGTATACTCTAAGCACTTTATCTTAAACTATTCAGATAAAATGCAGACACTCAGTGGGGGGTAAAGATTTTTAGCTAGAGGTGAATTTCAACAGGGTCAGTATTAGCAAAATAAGTAGCATTTCCTGTCCAAAAGTTCTCAAAGCATTTATGAACATGAACCTCTCTGCTTTACGTAAAATCTCTCCCAATGAATGACAACCTGAGAGTTATACTGTGCCAGAATTCACGACAAAGCTGGAAGACCGTGGCATTACATTCAAAAAGAACTGGAGTAAAATATTTAAAGGCCTGCCATTGAATCATGCACTTTACCTTTCAGTGGTGGTGAGATGCACATGTGCATCAACAGGACAAAAAAGTTTGTACTCTCTCTATATGTTTGTACAATGCCGAGCTCAATGGGACCCTTAGTCCTGATCGGAATTTCTGGACACTTTGCTGTAATCAAATAAACAAACAAACGACAATCAATAACCAATAACAACAACAACAAACAAATAAATAATAAAATAATAAATAACACATATTGTGAAAAAAATAATTAATAGCTATAAATAATACACAGTAGACTCCCCCAACATCAAATGTGATACGAATTATGTGATAAGTACCGAAGGATATATCCAAACTCTATTTAAGCACGGACTTGCATTGAGGATGAGGCCGAGCTTCATCATCCTAGGCGGAAAAAATGTGCTGAAAGAGTTAGGGCTAATCTACACGAGAAGCACTAACTCAGCACAGCTGCACTGATGCAGCTAGGCTGCTGTAGCGCATCTGGTGAAGACGCTCTATGTCGACGGGAGAGAGCTCTCCCGTCAGCATGATAAATCCACCACCACGAGAGGTTGTACCTATGTTGGAAGCAGAAGCTGTCCCACCGACATAGCGCTGTCTACATTGGCGCTTAGGTCAGTGTAAGTTACGTCGTTCAGGGTGGTGGCTTATTCACACCCCTGAGCAACAGAACTTATACCAAAGTAAGTGGTTGTGTAGACCTGGCCTCAGAATCTTTCCTCAAGCTTCCTCGTGTACACATGTGTGTTTGTGTCCACCCTTCTCCAGCCACTTCACTAATTTCCCATCTTTTTTTTAAAGAACAGCCCAAATACTTCTGTACATCCTGCAAGCAATCAGCTGTCCCCACACCTGTGCCTTATCTTACGTGCTACCCATTCATCTCTCTGTGTATTGTCCCCACCTGCAGGGCTCTCACACTTTCTTATAACAAATTCCCAAAATTCTAATAGTTCCATGTTATGATCAATATACTCTCAAATTAAACTGCATTGGAAAGTATACATGAAGCAATATTGGCTGCAAATACAATTGATTAATATGAGTTCTTTGTTGCAAGGTATAAAGCCAGTACTACAGCACTTCTTCTTTACTCAGCCTCTTAAACTAGGATTTTAGCTGCCAGTTGTCATAAACTACAATGACATTTTATACTTATTATAATATACGCTGAGTTTTGTGGAAATAAGCGCTTAGGACCAGAGGTGACTTGGAAGTCAGCTCCTCATCTACTTAGGGGCTTTTGACAATCCCATTAGGTGCCTATCTATATCTTTAGATGCCTTTGGAAATCTATCCCCCAACTCCCAATTAATATCAACTGGATTTGGGCACCTACCTTTGAACATCTTAGTCAAAGCTTGTAACTGCACAGGAACAGTTTCCACCATTGGTCAATTACTTTTAATTGTTTACCCATTGGGAGGGTGGAAGGAGAAGCAAACTACCCCTCAGGGAGCACAAGGACCAAGATCTGGGCTATTTCCTGTGCAGGCAAACCAGGGGAGGGTGGAGGGATCCTTGTATCTTCTTCCTCCTGTGAATCCAAGTGGGGCACCACTGCTGGCAGCTTTATAAACCTTAAAAGAAATCATTTGTTTTTAATGGGTTAATGTTTTAGTGGGTGTTTTTATTGGGCTCTTTACAGCCAGAACTTGGTCCAACCAATTCCAGCATGCAAAGCGTTTTCATCACTGAATTCCCATCCCCTGAAAAAACAGGGTTTAAATAATGGAAATGCTGACACCATCTTAACCATAACAGCATGAACAGTGCCACTATAATTACCATTAAAGGAAGAGATCTTAGAATATGAGACAGAGTGATGCTCTCATTAATTTTCCTGCCTGCTGCAACCAGGATTCAGATACAGCTCAGAGTCTAAAGGTCAAAAGTCTTATCAATCTGAGCGATAAATGTTTAGCATAGCGAGATGGAATGTCATGAGGGGATGGAAGAGAAAAGCTTGTGTGCTAGCATGGTGACCTTGAAGTAACAAACTGAAAATGTTAATAACAATTTAGATTAAGTTTTTGTAATGATTCCTTGATTATCATGATGACAAAAATTCAAATAAAATCAAACACAGTAAACGGGTGATACCTAGCAGATTTCATTATCTGGATTGGTTATTATAACCACTCCAGGTTTACCTATGGGAGGATGCTTTACATATAAATACTGAGTTTACTTCTATTACATTTGCCAAGGATGAGCATATGCAAATAATTGTGAAACATTATTTGTAGCACTTGCAGAATCTGTCATTTTTTGTTTTCATAACAATGTGTAGCTCACACCATTCAATAACAATTAGCAAGGACCAAGAGAACTGTTTTTCTGTGTACTTTATCTTATCACTAACTTATTGCTTGAGGATTACATATTGTTGTGGAATTTTGGCCATTAACTCCAAATGTGACTATTGAAACTTCCGATAGTAAAACTGAAGCTCTGGACAATCCTTAAGCCACCTTGTGGTATGTCTTACAGTGCACATGTGTTGATATACCCAAGTTTATGCAAGGGTTATGAATGAGGGAACGGCCTAACAGATTAGACATTCCAAGTCTTATGCATTTAGAAAATAGCTTGAATAAGACATATGCTTTGATAAGATAATAAGCATTCCAGTACTTGGACTATCTATCATTGACCCTATATAGGTCTATGTATATAGTCAGACTAGTGTGTCATGCAATATTACATATGCTTTACTTCAAAACTTCCTTATATTCAATTTTTTTCTTTCCCATTGGGGCATAGAGGACTTTAAATTAATTCCTAGGGCATTTTAATTGTAAGAACACCACTAAATACCTGGATTTCCAAGATGGTTTGACCCTGATCCATTGTGAATCAGGTAAAGCTTTAATTATTCTTCTTTTCCAAGAGGCTTGGCAATATCTTGAATTAATTCCTCATGATTTATCTATTCTGTTGTGCCTGGATCTTGCAATACGTATACTTGGCAGTTGTAATGCAGAGCTGTTATGGATGGTGTTTCAGCCTTCTCCACTTCATTATTTAAAACATGCCAACACTCAACTTATTAAAACAAAATTTAAAAGAAAAAATAAATTGGTTAACATTCATACAGTTTCTAATGGGTGGTCCTTGCAAGTTCTGCACCATAAAAACTAGTCATGCAACAGAGTAAGCTACAGATGAAACCCCATGAGAAGCGTAGCCAAGGCAAATAATAAACAGGTGTTCTAGACAAATAGGGAGCTCAACCAAAGCAAATCTGATAGGTTACTCACTGGGTATTTTCTCACTCTTAACTCAGTAGCTGAATTCTACATTTGCTAGCCTCTACCTAGCACTTACAGAAACTTCCCTCCTTGCTGTAGTTAGTGGAGAATGGTTGTGGGGAAGGGATACATATCTCCTACATAGAAAAGAGCTAAACTCCTCCAGGGGCCTCCTGCAGAGCAGCATGCAAGGGGAAGAAGGGATGAATGAAGCATTAGTGGACTGGGGAGGAGCAGGGCCAAGATATCCACCATTGCCCTATGCCCCATTGAGGACTATATTAGGAGTAATGGAGCCTACTTCTGCCATTAGGGTGGAGTGGGTTTGCATCTGATCCCAATCCCCCTGCTTGGTTCTGCTGCAGATAAATGGGAGATCATTGAGTCATATGAAGAAATAATAAGTATAGATTAATATGTCAGCAAATTAATAAGTGAAAGACAGGTTTCAGCTGGATGTCCCGAGGCATTTCTTATGGAAAGGCTGATAATGTAATCACATGATTAAAGGGGTTTGGGGGTATTGTTGTTTTCTGTTTGTTTATAAATTACTCCAACAGATATTTGCAGTGTTGTTGCTGTGTTTGTCCCAGGATATGAGACTGACAAGGTGGGAGAGGTTATATCTTTGATGGGACCAAATTAGAAATAAGGTTACCAGAATTCTTTAACATGGGCAAAATAACATTTTCAACTACCCTTGTTCTTGGAAACAGCTATATCATTTTGGCTGAAATTTTCCAAAAATCTTCAGTCTGAGGCAGACATGGAAAATTTCAGCCCAAACAGTTAAAGACTGGCAAAGTTATAAGCAACTGAAAACAGGGTTTTACAATGGGAACTGTTAGGCAAACTTAATAATTGACAATGAAAGAAGAAAAGTGATAGAAGAAAACCAGCTGAAAGTTTATTTTAAAGGTGAGGCACAAGTGGTTACATCTTTAAATGAGATAGCAATGGGCCCTGTATACTGATGGGCTACGTCACCAACACAGAAAAGAGCTAGTGCCATGCCCATGTCCCTTTCAGGCCCTGTTTATTGTTCAAACACAAAAACTCATGAGTAACACAAAAACAAAGCAATTTGCAAGCTGCAGGCCCCAGAAGCTTTTCCAGTCTCACTCAGCCCCAGGAAAGAGCATGCCCTCTTCCCTTAAATCATCTGCTGGGTCATGTGACAGACAGGTAGACCTTAACCCTGTCCTGGATATTTTACCCTATCACAGGCCCTATATGAGTGAAATATTCACTGGGTCATAATGGTTAGGATCCAAGATGTCTACTACACTTTAATAATGATGTGGATCTATGATCAAATGGGAAACTAAATCCTCATCACCCTGTCATCAAGAGTCAGTAATGAAACTCCAAAAATCCTGTTACAGCGATGAAAAAGAAATTAAAGAATTGCCAGGGCCAAAGTTATTAGGATGATGGTCAAGGCCAGTGAAGGGTACGATGATCATCCGAATAACAGTGATTCTTTTTCTAATAAAGCACCAAAATAGATCATCTAATTCAGTAAATGACTGATGAACAGAGAAAAAAAGTGGTGCACTGGATTAGGTGAAAAAAAAATGATTTGGGAGGATTTAGAGGGGCAATTTTTCCTTGAAGCAATAATATTATAAAAATCCTGAAATTGGGCATCAAAGGTCATCATGGTAGTGCTAGTTATACACAGAACAAAATAGAAAACTGATTTCTGCACATTTCACATCATCACAGAATGGAAAACGATGACTTACTGTCTAAGACAGTACTTGTTCTTCTGTGTTTTGATTAAATTAAATGGGTTGCACCAACTCTTTCTCTAACTTTAATAGTTCAGCAATGAAAAGATGTGGGAATTAAAACAGCACATTCTCCATTATGACCAAAAG